TTCTTCTTTTTACACAGTGGCACCTCCAAAAGAACAAAAATAATGTTTACCTGGGGTAAGAGGCAGATTAAAGTCCCTTTGATTCCATTTCAATATTCCTTACCCTCACCATGAATAACTCACATCATACAACGCACCAATGACTCTATGAGATCTGAACAACTATTAATAGCTAGTTAACACATGGATACTTATATACCTTGCAAGTTTTAATGCCCAAGTTAAAAGGACTACAGCAGAAATATTTTTCAGGTAAAAGGCGAGTTCTAGTAATTAAAGTTGGAGAAAGCTGTGAGGCTTGATAGCTTTAGGATGGCACTCTTGTCATTTAAGAGGGGCTATCAAATCCAAGAAGGAATAGCAATGTCTGAAGGCAATTGAAGAAGACGATTAAGGTATATTAGAATCTGCTGAGATAAATTAGTACACAGATAGAATGCTAAGGTGAGTGGTTGTGAAAGCTTAGGGTACAGCAACACTGGAATGACCTCATGTGAAACACTATGGAGAGAGCTTCAGTTGTGGAAATACTGGGAAGATGTCACGAGTTGTCATTGATAAAATCATGGTGCTACAATATTTCTCTTTGGGGCCGAGTCAGCTGAACCTAGTTCAGAGGTATGTTTGCTGGGATTGAAATCTGAACATGTACCGCACTTGTGAGAATTTGGATCACTCAGTCAAGAGCAGTAGTGCTCATCAATGATAAAATCAGCCAATTGATGAAATAATCCCTGGTTGCACAGGAATTTGTCTTGTTTACAGAAGTTGGCAGTTAGTGTACATTCTACTTTGCATAGTCAGTTCCATTATCTCTTTCAACGACAGTTCAAAACCAACCTGTTGGTAAGCTCTACAGTGGGCCTGAACAGGACATTCTGAACAAAGTGGAGCCTTGGGAGTACAGACAGTAGCACCCAGCTCCATTATAGCTTGGTTAAAGTCCCCCGGTCTAAATGGGTCCACCAAGCTATTTGCCAACATCCTGTAATGAAAGGACACCATAATGCTAAATTTGAAATATCCGTGTAAGACATTTACATCAAAATTTAAGCATTTCTGTGTTTTCTTCAGTGGAAAACTTTCTAATCAGCATTGCACATTTGTGGTTAAAATAATAACAGCAGCTCAGATCTCAATACCTAAGTTAATTTGAATGCCAGATCACAAGGTCCATCTCAATTATTTTTGTTGCTCTAGGCTTTAGGAGATAAGCCAAACTAACTTGCATAAAACAAGAACCGAAAGAACTGCAGATGCTGTAAATCAGAAACAAAAACAGAAATTGATGGAAAAAGCTCAGCAGGTCTGGCAGCATCTGTGGAGAGAAATCAGAGTTTAATGTTACAGGTCAAGTGACCCTTCCTCAGGTCCAAGTTCGGAGAAAGGGTCACTCGACCCGAAACATTAACTCTGATTTCTCTTCACAGATGCTGCCAGACCTGCTGACCTGTTCCAGCAATTTCTGTTTCTGCTGCATAAATTAAGACTGCAAGATTTATTCATTTAAATTCATTCAGTAAACAGTTTTGTCAGAGATCTGTGATCGTAACATCCACGCACAAAGAGCAATGCTAGATAAGTAGGGGAAATTGTTAAGATCATCAGAAAGATCAGAATTAAAGGGATAGTTACTTCTTAAAAAATCTTAACATGCTGCTCGTCAGTAGGCAGAGTACATCAGCAAGAGAAAAGTGAATCCTACCAAAGTGCTTCAAACACTGTTGGACTGGTGCTGTCTGCTCCAATTGCTCTAACACGACACAGCACCCGTACAGCGTTCCCATCCACTATCCCAGTTACCTACAAGAAGTAAAGCTTCACATTCAAATCTCCACTGCTAGTTTTTCCAGCAGAAAGATGTGATTTTTAGATTTATTAGAAGAGAATAAATAATGCATAACAATTTAGAAGCACATTACTGAACTGTGCACTTTCCAAATGCAAATCCCACAGAATAAAAAGATTGTGTTCTCTTATTACATTACATATTCATACCTACCTTTGTGGTCTATTGCCCTCTCATTATTGTGAAATGCTCCATTGAAACTTTTGCTCCATGGAATAGGTGTTTAAAGATTCTAAATGCTCAAGGTCAAACTATTTAACTTAGAAAAAAATATTCCTCAGATAAGATATTCAAACCAAGGCCCATCTGCTGTCTCAGGCAGAGATGAAAGATCCCATGGCACTATTTCAAAGAAGAACACGAGGTAGTTTTCCCTAGTGTCCTCGCCAATATTTATCCCTCAGTTAAAATCACTGTCACTTTTCTGTTTTTGGGAACCTGCTGTGTGAAAATTGGCTGCATTGCATCTTTACATTACAGCAATTGTAATTTAAAAGTATGTAATTGGTTATAAATCAACATCTGGATTACTCTGTCGTCATGAAAAGCACTATTTAAATACCAGGTTTTCTTTCTTTCTCGAAGTACAAGAAAGCACGTATACAAACACCAACTACTGTTTTTCTTTGCCTAAACTGGTTGCCTTCTTGATTCTCTTTTCATTACTCTTTTTCATTTCCCTCTTGACTCTTGCTTGAATATAGTTCATTTAGAGTCCAGAGGGTAAGTTACTAAGATCATCCAGGCATTGAGAATCAAAACAATCTTTCAGTGCAGTTATTTATTTTAAAAATTGAAAACATAACTGGATTTTTCCGATAATACTGGCAGTAAAGTATTTCCCATGCCAGAGCTCTTAATTAGTAAAAAATGACAAATCAGTTATTTACCAACTGAGTACAGTTTACACTACAAAGTCTAGTTCCCAATAAGAATGCTTCCTAACACATATATGCTGAGTTTATGACATTTGACAGAAAATATAGCAATGTAGCCATGCAGACAAAGAGAAAGGCCTGATAAGTTCTTTCCTCACCTGTCCAAATGTGATTGAGGCAATGGCAGAAGCTGTGTATCTCCCAACACCGGGCAGCAGCTTCTGTAGCTCCTCTGCAGTCTTTGGCATCTCACCTTTGAATTCTGACATAACCTATGAGAAGGGAAATACATTTAAAGATTGCAGAATTTTGCATTATCTAAATCAAATCTTTACCTCTTTCTAATATGATTTTGGTAGTATGGGCCTTCCCTGGTTTAAAGGGTGGCACAGGTGTCATTCAGATGTCTCCTCCAACTTGCTTTCAATCTGGTCATGCAGTAATAAAGAATGAGTTAGAACAGTTCTATGATTCTTTGTCATCTTCTTACAAAGACATATGTGGCCTCTGTACAGTTCTTCTCACAGCACCATAACTGTTATTAGGAACTTATTACACAGACAACGGAGGTCATAATCTGGACTCCTAATATCCTGTGACAGAGCAACAGCCAAACTTCAGTACATTTACCACAGTGCACTGCCTGGGTTTTGTTAATATTTTGTAGCGTATTTAAAAATTCCTCTCCAATAAATTATGGACATTTTTATCTGATGTAAAAGCAGAGATGACAAGAATATCAATTGTACCAGTCGTCTAAGAATGTCTCCAATACCTTTTGTGCTCCTTCATGTAATCTTCTTCCTCTGGAATAATATCCTAGGCCTGACCACATTTCATTCACTTCCTGCAAGAACAGCATTAAGGAGACAATTTATTACATTGTGCCATAAGAAGTAGCAGGGTGAAGTAACAAAGAACTTTAGGGATTACGCCTCTAGGGTCACATAGTTGAATTGACTCCAGATTTGTGTGTTTTCTCGCTAGAAATGAGAGAATGTTTCACAGTCATACTTCATAATTTCATAAGAGTTTGGGGTCAGTACTGGGTTGGTGATCTGTTGTGTGCACTTCCTGATATTCAGTTCCATTGCAAATCAATAGAATTAAATACTTTGGTAACGGACAGACAATGCAGTTAAAAGAAAACCATTGCAGATGCTAAAGAATGCTGAAGAAACTCAGCCAGATACTGTCTGTTTTGCATCGTTGCTAGAGATAAATTTCTAACCCAGTGTGTTTTACTTTCTTAAAAAAAAAGTACTTTATGTTCTAATTGTATTTCTTCATTCAAGGAAGGTACAGTTTTCTTTCAAACTAACTTCTAATAAGTCAGGCTATTTCCAGAGATTTATCGATGCAGGTATGTGACATTTTTGACATACTAATTAATGTTTTGGCCCGTAAGGAACATCTACAAAGAAAACAAATCAAAGCAATCAACTGGATAGATTAACTCTTTCATGAACTAATTTAAAGCCGTTCTGTTGTTTGGACTGACTTCAACAATTCACTATTGCTGCTTGTTTCAGTAAATGGCAAGTTTACACTCAAATGTGTTACAAAAGAATATGATGTCATTGTCAGTAGCTGCCTCTAAAGTGACATGGACACATTGGAGAAATCCTCTACTTAAATCCAGAAAATGAATGAATCTATCCTGGACAGACTATCACAAATACTTCCTATAATGTTAGATCTGATAAACATATGTCCATAAACTGGTAATTCTGCTGGGAATGAGCAAACATAAATGGAGAAGGTTCACAATTCACCACGTGAGGCCTTTCAGTATGATGCAATAAAGCTCCATGGAATACTCAAAACTTTTCTTTCCTTTGAAAACATGAATTCTTTCCTGCAATATTATGCAAAATACAAGCTGCCTTTGGAAACATCAATTCACAGCATTTGTTCACAAAAGCACTTCTATAAAACTTCAATCGAATTGATTGAAATTATTATAAACAGATGATGATTGGACCCTTTACCTCAACGGTGGCTTTAGCAAGATCCTGCAAGGTTGGCCATCTCTGAAAGTGAAAGCAGTGACAGGATATTAAGACTTGTGCAGCCTGCACCAATCAAAATTATTGTTAAAATGACACCATTGAGATTCTTTTTTTACCTGCATCCATTTGTTATAGTAGTTGATCACAGTAGCTACCTGTGTTTGCTGTAACATGATCTCAGACACCCAAACTGTGAAGGAAGATAAGGCTAAGGTTTTACAACATCAGAATATTTACATAAGTTTTTAAAAAAGTCATGGGGATCTAGCAATTGTTAGGCATATTTTTAAAAAGTCACAGTTCTTCAAGTTTGTCTTCAATTATCCCAGCAGCTGCACGAGATAACGTTTGTGGAGTTGTTGTTGTTTAATCACAACAACAATTAGTTTATTAGCCAACAACAGATCCACAGAAGATGCGAGAAAAAAATCCAGTGGTGCCAATGATCTCAATTCATTTCAGGAAACCTACTGGGAGCGAGATTAAGGAAGCCAGGTATTTTGCCCTGAAAAGTTAGTAATACAGCTCTCTCACACACTCTCCAGCTGCCAGAATTGAATTGGCAGTGCCTCACAAGAGAAGCTGAGGAATACGACATGTAAAAGGAAGAGCATGCAAACAAATTAATGAACAAACTTTTCTCGTTATACAGTAAGGAGGATCACAAAGGGCCAACCTTAGTGGTCAGGAAATATTGTAACATCAAGCTGAATTTTACCAAAAATGGCTATAAGGAGCACTTAGTCTGGAGTATACCGCAAGGCCCCTTCAGACCAATCCAAGCAACAGAATCTCATCTTCAAGCGATTTGTCATCTGTTCTATGATGTCCCTTGTCAAAGAATAGACTGCATTACATCTACTTCAGTCTCAGTCAGAGGTTTGCATAACGGAGTCATCAGTTATGATTGCAAAGGGTAGCCCTTGTCTCCCAGTAGCCATCCTTGTAAAGTCCTTGAATCGAAACAGGAACTTGAGAGTTCTCAAGAAGATAGACATTAGGGTAGATTCCAGGCTATCTGGCACAGACTTCTAAAGTGCGGTAGTGATGATCATGAATGACTTGTATGTTAATGGAGTCGAACTCTTTTCTATTGATGAAGTTGGCAACATTATAATATAGCGCTCTCAACGTAACATGCAGTCTGTATCACCTGGGAAAGCCAGCTATGTTGGCAAAGCCTACTGCCCATGCTGCAGCTTTGACCTCATCATGAAGAAACGAGATGAATCAATGTAATCTGTCATAAACTACATCAGTAACAGCTTAGATACATTTTTGGATTGATAGTTGATAGATCTCACATAGGTCTCCAATAAATTCGTGGAAGTAGCTAGTTGCATGAAACTTTAATGCAGCTGTAACTTTGACAGTCATTGGGTAAGGACAGCCACCAATCCCTTCAGGTTGCAAGTCCCACTCCAGCAGATGATGTAATTCCATAACAGTTTCCAGGGGCATCCTCAGTCTGTGGTGGCAATCTGCCTCATCAAAGTGGAGAAAATAGTGTCAAGGACAATAGATTCTGGTCTCCTGTACCTCCTCCACATCCATGGGTGATCTTCGGCTGCTGTTCAGCTGCCACTGGATGTTGTTACTAGTCCTGAGCTTGGTGACACATTTGATCTGCCTCAATTTCTCAGCCCTTCTATTGCACGGCCACAATGACAATTACCCCTGCTGTGACTAGATCCATTGGTCACAGTTCCTATGAACCTATGTGAGGAATATCAGACTCAGAGCAGGTCTTATGTACATATGAACAAGGAAAAAGACTTGGACACTTAGCCCTTTACACCTGCTCTGCCATTCAATAGGATCGCAGCTGATCCGATTTTAACCTCAACTCCACATGCCTGCATATCCCTGATAATCTTTCATCCCTTTGATAATCAACAATATACCTACTTCTACCTTAAAAATTTTAAAGATTCTGCATCTACTGCCTTTTGAGGAAGGAAATTCCAAAGACTCACAACCCTCTGAATGACAAAAAGAAGTTTACTCGCCTCTGTCTTAAATGGATGACCCCTTATTTTTAAGCTATGACCCCTCGTTCAATTCTGGTTCTCCCATTTTAGGAAGGATGCTGTTAAATTTAAAAGGGTTCTGAAAAATATTTACAAAGATGTCTCCAGGGTTGGAGGGTTCAAGATACAGGGAGAGGCTTAATAGGCTAGGGATACTTTCCCTAGAGTATCGGAGGCTGAGAGGGGCCTTATTGAAGTTTATAACAAACATCGTGAGGGGCACAGATAGTGTGAATAGCCAAGGTCTTTTCCCCAGGGTAGCAGAGTCCAAAACTAGAGGGCATAGGTTTAAGATGAGAGGGGTAAAATTTAAAAGGGATCTAAGGGGCAACTTTTTCACACAGGCAATGGTGCATATATGGAAAGAGCCTACACGAACAGCATCAGAAAGATTCTACACGCCCCGACACACCCATCACACTACCCTACATCAGGAACACGTCAGAACTCACCACAAGACTCCTACGACCGCTGGGCATCAGAGTGGCACACAAGCCCACGTCAACCCTATGATAACTGCTCACCCGAACTAAAGACTCACTCCCCGCCATGGACAGGACCAATGTCATCTACAAAATCCCCTGCAGAGACTGCGAGAAACACTACATCGGACAAACGGGAAGGAAACTAACAAGAGTACATGAACACTAACTGGCTACAAAAAGACAGGACCAATACTCACTCATCTCAATCCACATGGACAAGGATTACCACGACTTCAACTGGGACAACACCAAGATCCTGGGACAGGCTAGGCAGAGAGAAGGACGAGAATTCCTGGAAACATGGCATTCCATGAAGCATGCTATTAATAAACACATAGAACTCAACTCCATGTACATTCCACTACGAAGGAAAACCGGAAGTGAGGCAATCCATCTCAACGGACCCCAGAGTTTAAAAACCAGGCAGGAAAACACACCGACGTTTCATCGGAGGCTGCACTGAGGATGTTACCAAGCACGGTAACGAAACGTCTGCAAAACAACAAACCAGGTCGGCAAGCCAACCAACCTCAAATGGAAAGAGCTGCCAAAGGAAGTGGTTGAGGCTGGTACAATTACAATGTTTAAAAGGCATCCGGATGGGTGTATGAATAGGAAAGGTTTGGAGGGATATGGGCCAAATGCTGGCAAATAGGACTAGATTAATTTAGGATATCTGGTCATCATGAACGAGTTGGACCAAAGGGTCTGCTGTCTAACTCTATGACTCTAGTTCTAGATGTCCCACAACAGCAAACATTCTTCAACATCTGGTTGGTCAAATCCCCCCCAAAATCTCTGTTTAAATTAAGTCACTTCTGACTCTTCTAAACTCCAGCAGATATAGGCTAGCCTGTCTAGGCTATTCACATATGGCAAACCACTCACTCCAGAAGGTCTAGTAAACCACCACTAAACTGCTTTGAACGCTTTAGAATCCTTCTGTAAATACAGTGACCAGTATTGTACATAGTACTCCAGATGCAATCTAATCTGTGTAACTGACGAATAACTTCCCTATTCTTGCATTCAATTCCCCTCAAATAAAGTAGCATGCTATATACTCGATGGACTGAATGGCCTGCTTCCACACTGTAGGGATTCTATGATTATGTAATTGTGTGAGGAAGGAGTTTAGGAAGGGAATAAGGTAACCATTGTTAACCAGGGAAGTTAAGGATCACATTAAATTGAAAGGAAAAATACAAAATTTAGCAAAGATTAGTGTAAGCTAGAGTATTGGGAAAGTTTTAAAAACTAAGAAAAGATGACCAAAAAAAACTATACAGGGAAATTTGGAGGGTAAACTGGCAAGTAATATCAAGATATTCAGCATGAGCTTCTTTAAATATATAGAAACGAAGATAGAAGCCAAAGTTAAAATAGACCCCTTAGACAGCAAGGCTGGAAATTAATAATGAGGAGCCAGGAAATAGCAGAGGATTTGAACAAATACTTTGCGTCTGTCTTCACAGTAGAATATTCACTAACATATTCCAAAATTACTAAATAATCAAGGGCCAAAAGGAGAGAGGAAATAAATACAATAACTATCACAAGAGAAAATGTGCTAGGAAAAATATTAAGGCTAAAGACCAATAAGTCCCTTGGACCTAATGGGATGCATCCCATGATATTAAAGGAAGTAGCGACACAGATAGTGGATACACTGCTAGCAATCTTCCAAGAATCCTTACATTCTGGGAAATATCAGACAATTGGAAAACTGCCAATGCAACACCCTTAGTTAAAACGAGAAGGACACAAAAAAAAAGTAATGTCTATTTGTGAAAAACATTAAAGAGTCTATTAAAAATTATGTAACAGCAGAGCATCTACATATACATAATATGATGAAGCAGAGTCAACAAGGCTTCAACGAAGGGGAAAAGATTCCTGACAAATTTAATAGAATTCTTTGAGGAAGTAACAAGCAGGATAAATTTGAAAAGGTACCTCACATCAGGCTGCCTAATTAGACAATATAAGCACATTAACAAGATTAGAGGATTGGCTAACTAAGACAGCAAGTTTGGATATGAAGACATTTTCAGGACGGCAACCTGTAACTAGTTGAATGCCATAGGGATCGATCATTTACTGATGATTTGGATGAGGAAAGTAAAGGTATTATAGCCATGTTTGCAGATGACACAAAAATAGGTCAGAAGGCAAGTGGTGAGGTTTATTTCATGGGACAAGGGCATTGCTGGCTGGGCCAGCATTTATTTGCCATCTCTAATTATCCAGTTGTCAGTTAAGAGTCAACCACATTGTTGTGGTTCTGGAATTACATGCAGGCCAGACCAGGTAAGGCTGGCAATTTCCTTCCCTAAAGGACTCTAGCAAACCAGCTGGTTTTTTCCGACAATTGGCAATGGTTTCACGGTCGTCATTTGACTCTTAATTCCAGTTTTTTTTTATTGAATTCAAATTAAACCATCTTCCATGCCAGGATTCAAACCCAGGTCCCCAGAATATTACCTGAGTCTCTGGATTAACAGTCCAGTAAAAAACCACTAGGCCATCACCTCCCCACAGAGTCTGCAGAGAGATGTAGACAAGTTAAGCAAGCGGGCAAAATTTTGGCAGATAAAATATAATGTGGGGAAAATGTGAGTTTATGCACATTGGCAGGAATTATAGGAGCTAAATATTATTTAAATGGTGTAAGACTGCAGAAAGTCACAAATCAGTGCTTTTGGAAATCCTTGAGCATGAATCACAGAAAGCCAGCATCCAAGTTCAGCAGATAATAAGGAAAACCAATGGAATGTTGGCCTTTCTTTCAAAGGGGATGGAGCATAAAAATAGGGAGGTTTTGCTAAAACCATACAAGGCATCAGTTAGACCACAGCTGGAATACTCGAAGGAAAAATATATTGGCATGGGAGGCAGTCCAGAAAAGGTTCACTTGGCTGATACTGGTATGGAGGGACTGTCTTATGAGGAGAAGTTGAGTAGATTGGGCCTGAACTTATTGGAATTTAAAAGACTGAGAGGGAACTTACTGAAAATATACAAAATTCTTGGGGGACTTTATAGGGTAGATACAGAACGGCTGTTCCCCTTTCTTGGAGACTCCAGGACTCGAGGGCATAATCTCAAAATAAGGAGTCACATATTTAAGACACAGGAATAATTTCTTCACTCAGAGGACAGTGAATCCAGAATTCTTTACCCCAGAGGGCTGTCAAGGCAGGTCCGTTAAGTATACTCAAGGCTGAGACATGAGATTTTTAATCAGTAAGGGGATCAAAGATGATAGGGAAAAGACAGGAAGGTGGAGTTAAGGATTATTAGATTAGCCAAAATCTCATTGAATGGTTCAGTTAACTAGATGGGCTGAATGGCCTGGTTCTACTCCTATGTCTTATGGCCTTATAAATACGGTGAGAATTGGTAATAATAAGACTTCAATGCATGCAAATTAGCCTCTCACTGCTCACTTGCAAAATTCACATCTCACTGTTGAAACATTGGCTGCAATATCGGAATATTTTTCTCAATGCTGAGTATCTCATTTTCCAATCTCGCCCTATCGATTCAACATTGCCCATGTCATTGAGGTGCTGGGAAAATTCCACCTACAGTATTTCATACCTTTCCATTCAAATGACAGAGCATAGCATTGTAAGGACAGCAATCAGGAAAGCAGGAAACAAACATATACTGAGAACCTCAGCACCTTGCCAGGGCATTTAACCATAAACAGGTATACTGCACTGAGTCATAACGGAGAATGGAATTTGGAACAGTTTTTATTGCAAAGATTTGATCAAAGCTGACTACTGAGGAGGTAAGTGTCAAATCCTGCAATAAAAAAAAGTAACTTCATACACATTCTTGACCATGTCAAACACTAGTATCACCAGAGACCTTAAAACTGTTCAACCGCTTGCCTTTTTAGCTAGCAAGAGGAGACGTGAGATCAAACAGCAGAAACAATGGGATGAGGTAGAAAATAATAACCAAAATAGCGTTCACAATACCTGCATAAGCCCTTTTATTCAAATCAGATTCTGTCACAGCCTAGAAATGAAATGTTGCATTAATCAGACACTCTAAAATAATAAAATTAATGTGACCAATTTAGGGTAGGCACATCAATGAAATTTGGACACTCAGATCATACCATTCTCCGCCAAGGTAATTCTCGTTTGCTTTTATCATACCAGGACAGAAGGTTCGCCCTAATGGAATGGATTTCAGTCAGATCCTTAAAGGAATGGTAGGCAGCTTCCTTGCCAGTTAATATCCTTGGTAACTCTGCAAAGGTTAACAACAAATATCACAGCAATGGCAGCTTTTATTGATATACAGAAATTGCAGGTCATTTACTTTATATATTAAAGGTAAACATATTTTCATGTCATTGACTGAAATACATGGCCAAATATTGAGAGGCTGGTCGTAATTCGATGAAAATGCACGGAGTGCCAGTTTTATTTTGACAAAATGCATAATAGGACACATTACATCAAACATTCAGAAAGCTACAAAAATCAATTCAATGTAAACGAAGAAAACTGTAAAAAACGTTATCTGAAATTGTTAGCAACTATTTCAGACTTTACTACCCACCTTCTTTGATTTGTTCTTGACATAACTTCTTGCTCTGTGATGAACTTCTCACATTCTTTTTTCTTTTTAATGATGCTTTTCTAAGTATCACTGTGGTTCTCATCTTGCTCATTATATTCTCCAAAGATGAATGTGTTCAAAATTCTATAAAATAATTCGTTTATAAAGAAAACCTTACGACATATGAATAAACACTGGCAAATTAACCATAGGGATTACTGCTAGGGTCTCAACTCTCAACTAACTAATTAATCTCTATCAAGAACTTGGATGAAGGGTCAGCTTGCATGGTCCCAAAAATCTGGATATGCGTAGGTTGTGAAGAAGACATACAGAGTTTGCAAAGTGTTAAGCAAGCAGACACAGGTTTTGCATATTCAGTTTGTAATGGTCCAGATGAAACACCCTCAAAATATATTAAGAAGACAGCCTAGACCCCAACTTTTTCTTATTTTTAAAGACAAGTGTAAAGCATTGTGTTCTGAATGCAATTCAATTGGTCAAAGTACCAATCTGGAAGCAAAACACACTTTATTCTTACACTATTGTCAAAGTACAAACAAAACAAAGATGAATTGGAATAACTTAATCCTATTGGAAATCTTAACAGATTAATAGATTATTTAACTACTAAACAGCAACTGTTTCAAGATAGTAACATCCCGTAAACACATCGCAAAGGCAAATCAGTAAAATAAATTGCCTCACATGCAATTCTCCAGTCCAGGAAAAAAGAACATCAAGCAGCTTCCAAGCCCCAACAAAATGAAAGTTAAACTAAAATATTGGTTCTGTGAGAGCTTGACCCGAACCCTTCATATTGATTTTATTGTTCCAACTTAAAAAAAATCCCAAGGCCTGACAAGCTGTTTATTTTACTGGCTTGGAACAGACCTCTCATCACCTCAGTCTCAACCTCTTTTCATAAAAAAAAGGACAAAATGCACCCCGTAAAGCCATAGTATCATCACAAGTATAATGTGGATAAACATGAACTTGCCCACCATGGCAGAAGAACAGAAAAGCAGCATATTATGTAATGAGGCGAGAGACATAGAGTTTTACAGCACAGAAACAGACCCTTCGGTTCAAATCAGCCATGCTGACCAGATATCCAAAATTAATCTAGTCCCATTTGCCAGCATTTGGCCCATATCCCTCAAAACCCTTCCTATTCGGGCACCCATTCAGATGCCTTTAAATGTTGTTATTGTACCAGCCTCCACCACTTTGTGGTACAGAAGAATGCGTGTGTCCTCATACATGAAATCACAAAACATTGGTACACAGGTACAGTAACTGATCAGGAAGGCAAATAGAACGTCAGCCTTTATTGTAAGAAGAATGGAATATACTAGTAAGGAAATTTTGTTACAAGTGCACACCTTGGTGAGATCGCATTTGGATTACTGTTGTGGTTTCCTTAGTGAAGATAGATTATAATTTGTTGAGCCAGTTGAGAGAAGGTTCATTCAATGGATTCCTAGAATGAAGGAGTTGTCTTATGAGAAAAGCTGGGACAGTTTGGGTCTGTATCCATTGGAGTTTAAAAGAATGAGATGATGTTATAAGATCCAGAAAGGACTTGATGGGGTGAGGGAATAAGAATATGCTTCCCCTAGTGGGAGATATTAGGAAACACTATTTAAAAATAAGAAGTCACTTAAGATTTTCAGCACGGTGGCTCAGTGGTTAGCACTGCTGCATCACAGCACCAGGGACTTGGGTTCAATTCCAGCGTCAGGCGACTGTCTATGTAGAGTTTGCACATTCTCTCTGTGTCTGTGCGGGTTTCCTCCAGGTGCTCTAGTTTCCTCCCACAGTCAAAGACGTGCAGGGTAGGTGGACTGGCCTTGCTAAATTGCCCATAGTGCCCAAAGATGTTTAGGTTAGGTGGGTTAGAGATGGGGAAATTAGAAGAATGGGTCTGGGTAGGATACCCTTCAGAGGGGCAGCTTGGACTTGTTGGGCTGAATGACCTGTTTCCACACTGTAGGAATTCTTATTCTATGGATTTCTTCTCTTTCATGGGATGAGGGAGTCTGTGAAATTCTGATCCCCAAAAAGCACTGGACTGGAATTAGTGCCACTGAATTTCTTAAAGGCAGAGTTAGATTCTTTGATGAACAAGACAGTCCAACGTTTAGGGTGGAAAGCTGGCAGGAAAGTAAAGGCCAGGATCAGATCTAATACAAACATGTTGGATGATGTTGCAGGTCCGAGGAGCCGAATGGTCGTGTATGGTAGCTGGGACGCGCTGACTGCTGCACAACACTCATTCATTTTGAAATTCTGTTGCGCTAAAAGAGAATACATATCTGTGCATTCCTGGGAAGTGGTGTAGGGGGAACAGCCACTGCGCCATTCTGGGATCTGGCTTTGAATCCAGTCAAGTGAGAAGTACTTTTTTTCGGATCATTGGGCCTGATTACCTGAATAAAAATAGGCAATAATAGGATTCCCAGCGGAGAGTGAACTCCATGATAACGGACAAAACGCAAGGTCACCCGAAGATGTATACCTAGTGAAAACTCACAGCTAAATATTACCCAAGTCAGGCTCCGACCTCTCGCTGCTTTACAATAACAACTACCTCCAACGCCCGGGAACATAGCACGCGCCCACAGCGACAACAATAAGGAAGGACCCTTCCAAGACTGTCTACTCGATTGCCCGTCAAGCATTACTAACGACTCTCCCCCACCCCGAACTTTAAGCAGGTATTGGCCAACAAGCTGCGATTTTCCGTTCTTAAACTCACGGTGGTAATTTTAGCATTTTGACCCCCCCCCCTTTCGGGGAGGAGCTAGACCAGCAGCCGGGAAGGCCCCCATGTCTCTTTGAGGTTGTAAGTGTGTGTCTGTAGTAGTCTCTCTATCAGTTTGAGCAGGGAGGGTTACAGTTCGTTATTAATTACAGAGAAAGGATAGAGTGATAGATATTAGAGAATGAACATCAACAACAGGAAAACCCAAATCAGACAGAACTATCCTTTTTGTGTAAATGTCTCTGTGCCATTCTCTCTGCGCAGGGCACATTTCTGTACTGTGCCTCCTGTCCACCGCCATTTTGTTTAAATTAGCATTACATGAAGGTCTTGTTTTTGGGGAAATATCTCTGATTTCTTAAAACAAAGCAGTTAGCGGTAACGTAGCGAAATTTAAGAGAACCCTAGTTTCCCTGCAAATTGGGGAAGCCTGTATAACAGCCGGGGTAAAATAGCTTTAATTTTACTTTTTTTTATGGTTAGTATTTTTAATTTGGAACTAATAGCTCGGTGTCGAAAATACTCGTCACCTTTCCAAGTTTTATTTCACTGACATGATTATTCCTGTCAGGGGAATAAGACCCAGTACAGTATTTACAAATATCAGCTAGATTTTTGGAAAAAAAACCTGCTACTATTAATTTTGACTTTGAAATTGTGTAGCAAAGCTGTAATTCTTAAGGGGGGCTGATTTAGGGGGCAAAGTTGGAACAGTTTAAGATGGAATTTGAAGTAGATACATTTACGTTTTCTTACTTTGTCATAACAACAAAATATCATTCAATAACTTGATATGTAAACAATATAATGTGGCTTAATCAAAGAGTAAGATAATATTTTGTTGAAAGAAAATACTCCCTTGTAAAAAAAAAAGCCAGTAGTTTAATAAGTTTTCCAGTTACCTTATATATTATATACATTCTTTTTAAGACTGTGAATAAGAAGTGGATTTAACCGTGCAAATTATTTTGTCATGTCAAGAATCTGATGAAGATGGCCTTTATGAAAGTGCCTGTTGTTGATGTCCACGTTGATAATTTTAAAGAGATATGGCCTTCTATTCTCCTTGCAGTAAGGACAGCAAGTTTCATAGCCCTTGATACTGTGAGTGCAACATTTGTTATCTCTTAATTGTTTTGAAGTCATTTTGAAACGACAAACACTTATATTTAATTGTTCAATCACAGGAACTGAGTGGACTTGGCACACGAAAAGCTTTGTTGGCACAGTGAGTAGAAACTTGAATTGTGATTAAAGGGGCTTATCCTTCTATGTTCAGTTATTATTATAGTGTTGTAACAGGAATGATGGTCTTTCAAATTTATGTCCTTACCCTGCTCAAAAAAAAGTGACTCTTCTGGCAAACTACTATCCCCTGTCCAGTGTCTGCGAACTTGTTCTTGTTTCCTAAATGCATTGCCAGATTTTTTTTAACAGAAAAACAGAAATCGCTGGAAAAAAACTCAGCAGATCTGGCAGCATCTGTGGAGAGAAATCAGAATTAACATTTGGGTCCTGTGACTTTTCTTCAGAACTGATGGTAACTAGGAAGAAGTTGTTTTTATGCAGAAGATATGGTGAGGGGAGGTGTTAAGGAGTAAATGATAGGTGGAGATAGAGCCCAAAAAGAGAGAAGGACAGCTAGACAGACAAAGGAATGGATAATGGTCAGCCTTGGAGAATGAATGGGGACGGTTAGTGGCTAACAATGGGTAGTATGTAATAGCAGACAATATGATAAACAATCATGGTTTCTGGTACTAGGGTAAGGACATGGGAGAAGGTGCCTAACGCCCTGAAATTGTTGAATTTGATGTTAAGTCCAGAAGACTGTAGAGTTCTCAGGTGGAAAATGAAGTGCTGTTCTTCCAGCTTGTGCTAGCTTCACTGGAACACTGCAGCAAGCCTGTGACGTAGATGTTGGCCAGAGAACATGGGTGTTGAAGTGGCAGGCGCAGGCAGCTGGAAGCCCAGGGTTTTTGCAGACAGAATGTGGGTGTTCTGCAAAGCTTCATTTCATTTCCCCAATACATAGGAGACCACGTTGTGAGCCGTGAATGCAGTCGACTAGATTGAGCGAAATGCAGGTAAAGTGCTGCTTCACCTGGAATGTGTGTTTGGTCCCTTAGATACTGAAGAGGGAGGAAGTAAACAGACAATTATTACACCTGCTGTTGCAGGGGAAGGTGCCATGGGGCTGTAGAGGATGTTGGGACTGAAAGAGGAGTGGACCAGGGTGTCCTGGAGGGAATGGTCCTTGCGGAAGACTGACAAGGAATGGGAGCGGAATATGTCTGGTGGTGGCATCCCACTGGAAGAGGCGGAAATGGCAGCTAATGATCTTCTGGATGTGGATGCTGGTGGGATAGTAGATGAGGACAAGGGGGACCCTATTGCTGTTGTGGGAGGGAAGCAACTGGAGTTGAGGGCTGATGTGAAGGAGATGGGCTGGGCATGACTGAGGGCCCTGTCAATTACAGTGCTGGGGAATTCTCAGTTGAGGCAGAAGGTGGACATTTCAGAGGTCCCCTTGTCGAAATTGGAACAAACGCGACGGAGACAGAGGAACTGGAAGAATGGAATAGAATCTTTACAGGAAGCAGGGTGTGAGGATGAATAGTCAACGTAGCTGTGGGAGTCTGTTGGTTTGTAGTGGATGTTAGTGCCCAGCCTGTTCCCAGAAATAGAAACAGACATCGAGGAAGGGAAGGGAGGAATCGGAGGTGGACCAGATAAACGTGAGACCAGGCTGGAAATTGAAAGCGAAATTGATAAACTTTTCCAATTCTGGATGAGAGAGGGAAGCAGCACCGATGATATCATCGATATATCGGAGAAAGAGTTGTGGGTGGTGACTGGAATAGGACTGGAACAAGGAATATTCCACATACCCCCCCAGAGACAGGCATAACTAGAGCCAATTTTTAAAAAATTCTTTCGCAGGATGAGGGTGCTGCTGGCTAAGCCAGCATTTATTATCCATTTCTAATTGCCCAGGGGGCAGTTCAGAGTCAACCACATTGCTGTGGGTCTGGAGTTGCATGTAGGCCAGACCAGAAATACAATGGCAGTTTCCTTCCCTAAAGGACATTAGTGAACCAGATGGGTTTTTATGACATTCATTTCATGGTCATTAGAACTCTTAATTCCAGATTTTTATTGAATTCAAATTCCACCATCTGCCGTGGCAGGATTCAAACCCAGGTCCCCAGAACATTACCTGGAGTCCCTGGATTAACAGTCCACCGATAATATCACTAGGCATTTGCCTCCCCATGGACACCCCTTTGACCTGAGGAAAATGAGAGGAGTTAAAGGTGAAGTTGTTCAGAGTGAGGATGAGCTCGGCTAGGCCGAAGAGGCTGGTGGTAGATGCAGACCATTCAGGCCCTTTTCCAGGAAGAAGAGGAGAGCTCTGAGATGCACTTTGCCACACAATAGACTTAGCAACCTTTACAACCAACAACATATCCAATATCGAATCAGTTTCAAGCCGTTCTAGTGGCTGAGTTTCCTCCTCTGCTGCTTTCTCTTGAACAGTCTCTACTTTATGGATAAAGACAGTTTAGTAGCAGAGTATTCATTTAACACCTCAGCCATGCTTCTTTCCCCAATGTGTAAATCTCCTTTTCGGTCCTGATTTGGTCCTATTCCTCTTTTTACCACCCACTTACTGTTCATGTGCAAATAAAAGACTTTGGGATTTATCTTTGTTAGCTGCCAGCCTGTTCTGATAATCTGTTATCTTCTTATATCTTCTTATATTTGCTTTGTCATCTTCTTTCTGAACTTTCTTTGGTCATTTTAGTTCTCAATTGTATTTGCTACCTGACAACTGTCTTGTGCACACCTTTTCTTCAGTTTGATTCTATATGCTTTGTCATCCAGAGAGCTCAAGATTTGTTTTTCCTCCCTTTTTCTTTATGAAGGACATTGATATACCGAGGGACCTGGGTGTACAAGTCCACAGTCCCTGAAAGTGGCAGCACAGGTGGATAAGGTGGTCATGAATGTAGACAGCGTGCTTGCCTTCATTGGCAGGGGCACTGAATATAAAAGTTATCTTACTGCTTAGTTACCTTAGTTAAGCCAAATTTTGGAATATTGCATGTAGTTCTGGTCGCTACACTGCCAGAAGGACGTGGATGCTTTGGAGAGGGTACAGAGAAGGTTTACCAGGATGTTGCCTGGTCTGGAGGGTTTTTTGTTTTGAGGAGAGGTTGGGTAAACTCTGATTGTTTTCACTGGAAAGATGAAGGCTGAGGGGCAACCTGATAGAGGTCTACAAAATTATGAGAGGCCTAGATAGGGTGGATAGTCAGAGGCTATCCCAGGGTGGAAAGGTCAACTACAAGAGGGCACGAGATCAAGGTGAGAAGTGTGGAGAAAACTTTTCATACAGGGGTTGGTGGGTACCTGGAACCAGCGGATGTGGTGGAAGCAGGCACGTTGGCAATGTTTAAGGCGTATCTTGATAGAAACATGAACGGGAGGTGAACAGAGGATAGAAACCACTTATGGGCAATAAGTAGCGTGTGTAAATAAGGAACAGAATCAGCGCAGGCTTGGTGAACTGAAGGGCATGTTCCTGTACTGCATTGTATTGTATTATATATTGTATTGAATGTACCTTGACTATTGCCAAAACCATCTCCTCTTTGAAGGTAGCCTACTGTTTTGCCTGCCAACTTTTTCATTCTAGTCTGTCTGGCCCAACTCTGTACTTGCTCCATTGAAGTCTACTTTCCACCGATTGATTCTTGCTATTCATTATTATTGCTGCTGATGTTATTACTAGACAAATCAGATCTCATTCTGAAATCTGGCTTGATAACTCATATATATTTTATTTAATTTTAATGAGGTGGTCTTTCACTGAAACATAAGCATGCAAAATTGCAGATCTGGTTTTAACATTAAAACAAGTTTATTATGCAAAAGAACAAAAAAAATCAAATGAACCAAGCTATTTACATATAACACAGTTTGAAAGTTTTAGAATCACATGGTAAAAATTCAGTGTTCTAGTTATTCCAACAGCAGAGAGAATTCCCTTCTGTATCACTTTTATGAGTGTAACTTAACTTTGTTTTCAATTCTTGGTCTTAAGAATCCACTAGATCTTCCTTGAGTATTCACACAAGAGTTTAGACTTTCTCCGAGTCAAATAACCCCTTCAGGGTTCTAATCAAATGTTTCTGGTCTGGAACCTTTAAACTAGAATCCTTACACTGAGGTAACCTATTTCCTAACTTTTCAAAACGAAGTCCTTTCTCTAACTCCATCTTCAATGTAACTACTACAAACTAAAAACAAGATTTCAAAGTTGACTGTTTTCCCTCATCAAAAATAATCAATCCTTGATCTGTCTAACTGAGACAAAGGACTCGATCCAAAACGTCAACTGATTTTACTTCACAGATGCTGCCACACCTGAGCTTTTCCAGCAATTTGTGCTTCTCTCTGATTTACAGCATCCACAGTTCTTTCAGTTTTTAATGTTGTTAAATGTTTATCTGTCCACTGGCAAAACTCTTTTCAATAGCATACCTGGAACGCTCTAGTACCTTTTTTTAACATGTATTCCAGAAGTGCTGACCCCCTCATACACAGAAACCAAAGCCCACTTGCCACTATTCAAAAATCCAAACTCTAAAATCAATTCTGTTAAAATGTACATAAATGGCAGACCTCACAACACACAGTGTCATTTTCCACTCACCTCCTGCACCTTTCCAATGATCACTTCCTACACTGGCAGTATTTAGCCCACTTCATTTTCCAGAACCAGGTCTGGCAATGCGTCCTTTCGAGTCTATATGCAGTTGTTAAACTCCCCCATTATAATGACTTTATGAATTTTACACCTCTCTGTAATTTCCTTGCAAATTTTCTTTCAACATTCTTACCACAAGGTGGTGGTATTTTGCTTATACCAAACAACATGATTGCACCCTTATTTGTTAGCTCCGGCCAAATCCATTTTGTCGTTAAAGCCTCTGAAACATCCTCTTTTTCCAGTACTACATTGGTCTCTTTAACTAAAAATGCCAGCCTTCCTTTTTATTTTTCCTTTTCCTATCTTCTCTGAACACCTTGCAGCCAGGAATATTTAACACTCAGCTATGCCTTCCTTAAACCAGGTTACATTGTAATCCCACAAGACAGGCTGTGCCTGTAACATCCCAATCTTATTAACAATACTTTGTGCATTCACATACATGCAGTGTAGGCCTGATTAGACTTCATTACTTTCACCCTTACTCCAAATCCACATATTAACTTGCTATTCTCTTTATTAGTACCATGTGCTTTTCCCAGCATTTCATGGTCCCTGTCATTACTTTCTAGTATTCTCCTCTTGTTCCCACAGCCATGCTGAATTAAATTAAACCTTCCCTAAAAGACATTACCATCACCGAATTCCCTATTATCAACATCTTGTAGGTTATATTTGACTAGAAGTGGAACTAGACCAGCCTTATAAATATTGTGGCTAAACAGGCTGTCTGGAGATTTATAACGTTGTGACAAATGCTTCACCTTCGGACTCCACGATAGCTGTTGTGAATATGCTGTCACTTTAAAAAGGTTATTTTGTCCTGGGTTTTTTGTTTTGGAGAGAGGTTTTAAAGGCAGAGATACTGAACTGGCTACTGAAAACAGCTTAAGTAAATAACTTAAGAGGCCTTTAGGTTTTTTTCAGAAAGATAGTTGTAGCAATGGAAGGTGAGTGGCTAGTTCTCACCAACCAGGCTTTCTAGTTATATTTTAGCTGTAGCAGTCAGAAGCTGTTTTGGATCCTGTAGGAGGTAGAAGCTTCAGCAAATAATTCCTAGCTGTTACTTTCTCTGAAATCTCTCGATGTTGTTTCCTCCTGGATTGGAGAACTGCATGAAAGAATCTGTGTCTAAATTTACCTTTTTTGCCAAGGGGTGTGTTTATGAGATGTTACTATATTGGAACAGTTAATTCGTAATAAGTACTGTATCTATTATTTGGTTAAGTTTTCCAATTGTTATTCTAAATTTCTCTTTTGTTTGTATTTTATCTATAGCGTTTAAATAAATTGTGTTTTACTTAATGTTGAGTAGTTTGACTAGTCGCATTACATCTGGGACATGCACTTCACATCTACCTTTAAAATAAGAAAATATTAGGATCTAGGCTACCTTCTTAAAATATTTTTAGGGGGTCTGGTCTGGTCTGTCAACCTGCACAAAGCACAAGTCAGAAATGTGTTGGAAAACGATCTGCTTGTTTGGATGGCTGCAGCTCCAACAGCATTGAAGAAGCTCACTACCATCCAGGTCAGAGCCAGCCCACTTTAGTTGCACCCCATCCCCTACCTGAGATATTTGCTCCCTCCGTTACACATTACATTGGCAGCAGTGTGAACCATCTATAAAATGGCCTCCTGCAACTTACAAGGCTCCTATACAGCACCTTCCAAAATTGCAACCTCTACCATCTAGAAGGACCAGGGCAACAAATACATGGGAACACCATCACCTGCAAGTTCCTTCCAAGCCACTGAGCATCCGGACTTAGAATTGCATCATTGTTACTGAGTCAAAATCCTGCAACTCCCTTCCTAACAGCACTGTGGGTGTCCCTATGCCATCCCCTGGGCGGTTAGGGAAGGGTAAAAAAACACTGGCCTAGCCAACAATGTCCAAGTTCCACAAAAAAAATTGAAAGTATCATGTGGACTTCTTGTCAAACAATGTCTCGATTTTAAATTTTCATTCTTGTTTTCATATTCATCCATTAAGTACCAAATAAAATTCAGTCTGGAGGAGTATGTGATCATTCATTTATGCAAACAGGGCCAGAGAATACACAAATGTTTGGATACACAGAAGTGCACAGTGACAGAGAGACTTTGGGTTCATGTACAAAGATCCTGAAGTTTGCTGGACAGTTTGACAAGGTGGTTATCCAGCCTAACTGCTCAGAGGTGATATGCCGAAAGGCCTCCTTCTGTGTCATAAATTTCACAAGAGTAAGCTTCCTTTTAAATTTTACTGTTTGTGTGAGCTTCTTGCTTTTTGTGTTTTCTGTTGTGGTAATTGTATAAACTGAGGTTAAGTATATGGGCTCAGAGGGCACTCATTCGATAATTACTTAAACATCTGGGAAGATGGCAAAATGAGAAGGTAGAGTTTTTGTGGGGAAATAAGGTAAACCCGCTATGGAGCCTCACCCTGAAAAAGTACAAAAACATTTTGAGATCAGCCAACATGTCAAATACATCAGCTCCTTCTGTGGAGAAAGAGTCAGATGGCATTTAGTATCTTACATTGTGGATCCTGCATGAAAATGGGGGCTGGCAGACCTTTGGCCTGCAACATCACCTCAGCCGTTACATTAAATCGCCATCTGTGGGAGCTGAACGATCAGTGAGTGCTGGCTGGGGAGTCTGATTGCTAATCCAAGTCTCAGGAAGGCAACCTTGTTCATAAACGGTATAAAAAGATGTGTATTTGGTAATGGATTGACGATTTAGGAGCTATACGTTTGTAATGTTTCAGTTTGTGAATAAGCTTAAACTTAATAAAGACTAACTTCTGCGTTCTTTCAGTTGACTGTCAGAAATTTAGTAGTGAGGTCCAAGCCAACTGATGGCAAATTACTGACGTTGTCATTCAAGGGCAGGAGCAGAAGAAATCACATGCCCCAGGGTTGCTGTTGGTGTGGGCCCCAGCCCTAGCCCCTACTGAGGACAATGGCCCACCCGGACCCAAACAACAGAAACCTTTAGTGGTTTGGGCCCTGAGGTACATACCCCCTGTATAGGACCCTGTGTCAGTATTAGTAAGCAAGCATGTATGCTTAAAGTGAATTTCTTTTGTCTAATTTTCCTGCTGAGCTGTTGACTGAGCAAAATGACTTGTTAAAATTGAGAAAAAAAATCTCCAGCAATAGATTAACTTTTCCTTCTGTCCCAAGATGAAGTATTTGTTTCTATTGGGGAAATTGAATAATTCATGCTTTCTTCAATGTGTAACAGGTCGATAGAAGACCGATACAAAGCAATATGCAACGCTGCCAGAACTCGTGCTGTTCTCTCTCTCGGGATAGCAAGTTTCAAAGAGCTATCAAACAAAGTAAGAGACTTTCTAAAGAAATTTAGTTTCATCTGTTGTGTTTTTTGGAAAATTTCTCTGAAACAACATTTAGTAATTTATTTATTAATCTCACCAGAGACGCACTTGACCCTATTATGATATATTCCATGTAGAAAACCACATTTCATCCTTTTACTGCTTTCAGACCCCCTGCATTTGGATGCTTATCGCCACCTGGCTGCTAGATTTCTTTTGTCTTTCTTCATCATAGGACATGGGCTTCACTGGCAAGGCCAGCATTTATTGCCCTTCTCTGGTTGTTCTGGAGAAAGTGGTGGTGAGCTGCCTTCTTGAGCCACTGCAGTCAATTTAGTGTAGGTACACGCAGTATGCTGTTAGAAAGTTCCAGGATTTTGTCTGAGACACTGAATGAACAGTGATATATTTTCAAAACAAGCATCGAGAATGCTGGAGAAACTCAGCAGAACCGGTAGCCTCTGTGGAAGGGAAACAGAAATAACATCAGTCCAGTATGATTTCTACAGAAGTACATTTTGTCCTTTTGTTAGATAGTACAAAAATGTTTCCAAGTCAGGATAGTGAGTGGCTTGGAGGGGAACCTGCAACTGGTGGTGTTCCCATGTATCTGCTGTCCTTGCCTTCTAAATGGTATGATTGATTGGAGGTTTGGAAGCTGCTGACTCAGGAGCTTTGGAAATGTTGTATGTTGTAGATGATATACACTGTTGCTGCTGTGTGATGGTTGTGAAGGGAGTGAAAGTGGCACCAATCAAATGGACTGCTTTGTCCCGGATGGTACAAGCTTCTCGACTTTTGTTGGAGCTACGCACATCTGGGCAAGTGGGGAGTATTGGCTCACCCTCCTGACTTGTGCCTTGTAGATGTTGGCAGGTTTTGGGGAGCCAGGCAGCGAGGTTCTTGCTGCAGAATTCATAGCCTCTGACCTGCTTCCATCAGTATTAAAATAGCTAGCCCTATTTTGTTTCTGGTCCACGTTAACACCCAAGATGTCGATAGTGGCAGATTCAGCAAGAGTAGTGCTGTGAAAATCCAAAGGGCAATGGGTAGATTCTCTCTGGTTCTGTCATCTTTACTGCTAACCTTATGATGGAGGGATGGTTGTTGATGAAGCTACTGAAGATAGTTGGACCTTGGACAGTACCCCCGAAGGACTCCTGCAGAGATGTCCTGGAGCTGATTTGATTGACTTTCCATAACCACGAACATCTTTCTCTGTACCAAGTACAACTCCAATCAGTTGAGAGTTTTGCCCTGATTCTCATCGACATTAGTTTTGTTTTTACCTCTGGAATTCTGCTGTTTTGACCACAAATGGACTAATAGGTGACAATCTTGTGTACTTCTAATTGTTTTTCCCTTTGGCAGTGTTCAGATGTTTCTCTGTAGTGCCTCTAATAGCATTGCTAAGATTGAATGCTGTCATAGGAGTGGGGAAAACAGTTATCTGCACCTCTGCCTGATTGTAGCGTTGTAATAATTTTTATATTCTTCATATTGTTCTTCACGGAATCTGGGGCTGTTAGGATTCAGCTTTGAATATCGTTCATATAGAACAGCCTATACACCACATCAAGGTCAGGTAAATGAATATTTGGTGGAGAAACATATGAAGAAGATTTAGAGGTTCGGGAAAGAGCTATAATACCTGGTTCCTAAAGAATGCTTGTTTGTGTACGTTTTGAACCCCTGTGTTACTAAACATTGGCTAAGTCTCCTCTTGCTATAAATTTTGAGCTATACACAAAAGGTAACTGTCAGCCATGGGGAAAATATTGCATTTAAAGTGCAGAGAGGAGAGCATTTCACTGAATTTAACGTTAATGTTTTTCGCTTCCCTATTCAAACGTCGCTGTTGGAGTTTAAAAAGATTAGGGCTGACAGTAGAGATACTTGATGGACAGAGTCTATTCAACTCTCAGTATGTGTAACCACTCTTTAAAGCAACTATTGTGTGGCATTCAACATTAGAAATCCTTATTGTATGTTTCCTGCAGGTATAACACTTACATTAGATTAAGGTCAATGTTTCTTTAATGCGTTATCCTAGTAAGACAGTATGAACTAGGTCTTTTCAATGTGTTTTGAAATGAAAAATTTTGATCTAATGATTTTACTAGATATAGATTCTTACTATGCATGTTGGTCGGATCACAATTGTAAATATTTCAGCCAGGTAGTACCTACTTGAGTCAAGTGTACAACCTTACCCTCCTCTGCATGGATGAATATATAATTGAACCACAGTCTGTTCAGTTCTTGGTCCAACATGGCTTTGACTTCAATAAACAGTATTCTAAAGGAATTCCATACCACAAAGGAAATGACAAGGTAACAACTGATTAAATTTCTTAACATTACATTATATGCTCAATTTCTTCATGCTCTTTCAAAGACAATTGTGTACTTGGAAGTGTTGATTTATGTACAGTTATTTTGTTAGTGCATGACGAATGGTGTTCAGTAGCACAATACAGCTCAATCCAATTTTATCATCCTGTGCTAGAATGTAGTGCACAGTGGCAAAGAACATTTGCTAATTAAGACTCCCATTTTTAAAAAAAATCAGTGTTTATCGCTTAGCTAAGCCAGTATTTATTTATTGCCCATCTCTAATTATTCTTTTTCAATATGAAGCATTGCCTGAGCAGCTATACTGTAGTTACATTAAAAGCAATGCTTTTTCCCTTCTTCTACAATATACTTTCTTCCAGAATTCGCCAATTTGGAGCTGCCATTCTGGTGGCATGTTAAAGACAATTTTATGCAGTGATCCTGTGTTCAGGAACTCGATGGATACTGCCCAATTCAGTTTACGTAGGACCCGCATGGCAGCTGGCAACCTAGAGGAGTTTTTTTGTATCAACAGTAGGGAATAGATTTGAAGGGCTTTATTTACCTCAATGCCCAATTATTTCCACTTTTAACACACCCTGTTTTGGATTTTGACAGCCTCATGAATGTCGCGGTCAGAATATGAGAGGTCTGTTCCTAGAAATCATCCAGTCAAAAAGGCCTTTAATTCTTCACAATGGGCTGATTGACCTGGCATTCCTGTACCAGTGTTTTTATGCCAACTTGCCAGATCAGCTTATGACCTTCACAGCTGATATATCTGAGATGTTTCCAGCTGGGGTTTATGATACCAAATACACTTCAGAAGTTGAGACTCGCTTTGTATCATCGTACTTGGAATATGCCTACAAAAAATGGTAAATATTGTAAGCTAATTGTTTTCCTTTGAATTTAAGTGACAACGGTTGTGATTTAAAAATGTGTGGGTTAATCATTTTTTAAAAAGTTTTAAATTACCTTATGCTTCAGATATTCAATATGCTGCCAATAGCCTTTGTTTAATTACTTCAAATGGATTGAAATTTTGCAACTAAAATGATATGGGTTAATGGAAAAATATTGGTCAGGGCCTAGAGGTAACAGTTTGCTCTTTTAAATAATGTTTCGACATCTTGTGTCCATGTTTGAGAACATACATGGCCTCAATGGAAAGTTAGCACTCATCAGTCTTAAGCTGAAACATAAGCCTTGATCACGTGCACAGGTCTTTGGAATGGAATAACCTTTAAACTTCTGACTCTGTTGTTAGCCTGGGCTCTCACCCATGAACTCAGTTGAAGGAATGTTGGAACTTTACTTGATACTTGTTTGATGCAGAAAGTGTGATAGTGGTTTACTCCTAAACATATAGCCCCAAAATAGTAAAACCCTTTTTCAAATTGTAGCAGGAGACTCCATTTTGCAACAGAAAATTGTTTTCTGAACTATGTTGTTTTCTTTTGTGTAAAAAAAGCTCAATTTGTTACAAGTACTTGGTGTGAATTAAAATTTAAAGTGCAAGTAATGTCTCTCTCCCTAATGTCATTGGAGGGAGTGCAGGGTTTTACAAGATTCTTGGAAAACCTCATGGTTCAAAACATACTCAGCTCTTGTCTGTAATCCTGCAAAGCATGGTTGTAATTCAGTTTTATATTCTCTGTACTAATGGTGCATTGTTTCAATTTGCAGCAGAAGGGAAAACAACAGGTTAATTGATGCTAGCAACAGTCATCTTTCCATTGAGTTCTGTAACTATCAACAGGCATTCACAGGTTATATTGACTACCGGTGCTGCAACCTTCCAGAGGCTGACAGAAAGGTTACTGAAGAAGAAACAACAGGAATATGTGAACAATTTTCAGTGAGTATAACTGGAATCAAATTTTAAGATGATTGTAATATTCCCAAAGATCATTTTCAGGTTGACATTTTTCAAGCATCAGTAAATGCAGGAAACTATAGACGGGTGAGTCTCGTGTCAGTGGTTGGGAAGCTATTGGAGAGAATTCTTGGTGATAGGATTTACGTGCATTTGGAAGAGCAAGGCCTAATTAGGGACAGTCAGCATGGCTTTGTGCAGGGCAGGTCATGTCTTACTTCTTTGAAAAATTCAATCAAGTTTGTAACAAAGGTGATCAATGAGGGTAGATGTTATCTACATGGATTTTAGTAAGGCTTTCAACAAGGTCCCTTTATAGTAGGCTCATCCAGAAGATTAAGATGCACAGGATCCATGGTAACCTGGTCACGTGGATTCAGAATTGGCTTATCCAAAGAAGGCAGATGGTAATGGTGGAAGGGTGTTTTTTTTAGACTGGAGGTCAGTGACCCATTGTAGAAGGTTGTCAAAGGATGCAGTGGGATATAGATCAGTTGCAGATACAGGCGGAGAAAGGGCAGTTGGAGCGGGTGCAGAAGAGGTGTAGTAGGATGCTGTCTTGATTAGAGGCTATGAGCTAAGGAGAGGCTAGAAAAACTCGGGTTGTTTTCTCTGGAGCGGCAGACTTGATATACGTCTAAGAGTGACATACACAGATAGGGTTGACAATCAATGTCCCAGATAAAATGCCTAAAACTAGGGGCTATGTATTTAAGGTGAGGGGGAAAAGCACAAAAAGGGAGATGTGAGCGGCAAGTTTTTTTTTTAAAAAAAAAAGTGTTGAGAGTTTGGAACATGCTGCCAAGGGTGGTGGTGGAGGCAGATATGATAGGAGCATTTTGAGACTTTTAGATAAGCACATGAATATGCAAGGAATGGAGGGATATGGACCAAGGGCAAGCAGAAGAGATTAGTTTAATTTTGCGCCATGTGCTGTACGGTTCTATGTTCTAGTAACTTCAGACAGAAGCCTGTGATAGTCCAATCTTTTGTGAGATTTTTTGATGGGCATAATAAGGGCTGGAGCTTTGATTACAGGGACATAGTATGGCTTATGACTGACCCCTGATCTGCCCAATTTGGTACAGATGATGGGAAATGTGTTCCATGGTAACTTATTTGTATATCTCAAGGCTTATGGATGGTGTCCAAATGGAATGAAATGCTCCCTGTCACATAATACTGACCTCATTATTGATGAAGATGAACGCCACAATGACAAAAGAAAGAAGAAAAAGGTCAGGAGAAAACGGAAACAGAATACATTGGAATTGACTGACAACCCTACTAACTGCACGATTGCAGATAACATGCCTCCAACTGATATGCCACCATCTAAGTTATTGTGTGACAACACAAGCATGGAACCAGAAGGAATGGACATTGGAGAATTAAAGCAGGAAAAGTCTGTAAGTGATGTACAACTCCCAGAAACCACGTTTGACAAGGAGGAAAGTAAAGATAATCGCTGTGGTATAGTGGAAACAGAGGGAGAATTTTTAAGCAACAACAAAAAGGAAAACCAGTCAGAGGATCAAAAGTGTACAGCAACCAAATTAGTGGAAAAGGGCAAAATTGAAAAATGTGAAGGAGGTACCCACCGTGCAGGATTTGATGCTTTCATGACTGGATTCATAATGGCTTACATTTTGATGTGGAAGAATGGTGAAAGTGATAGCACAAAGATGGACCCATGGCTCCCTGATTGTCTCAATAAACTTTACCTGAGTGGGAAGGCCCTTCCCTTGCAGATTTGTAAAAGTTCATTCTCAAAATCTTCAAAAGTTCATCAGGCTAAGATTGAATTGCTTTGGGGAAAACAGTAAGGTCTGAAACTTTTTAAAACTGGCTGCAGTTATGAGTTCAGAAAAATGTAGTAAAATTGTAATTTTTTTCTGAAGAGGAGTACAATTAAACATGTATCATCTTTCTATTGCAGGAATATCAATCCTTTACTTGATTAAATTTGCTGCTTTTCATGCTGTGAAAATACTAGTGTTATTTGCCAAAATCAAAATGGCTGAGGATGGTTATAGTACTGTGCTGCATAACTTGAGCTGATATTTGATATCAGGATTGACCAAATTCTCCATTTGGTACCTTTTTAATTCAGTGTAGACAAGATCAAAGATGTGCCTGCTATTATGTTATTTCTTAATTTGCAAATAACTAGAAAAAGTACATAAAATGATCAAGCTAGTTGTGGACAAGAGAATGTTTGGGTTTGATTGTGTTTGAATTGCCATGCAAAGTTGCTTACGCCAACAAGCAATAATGCAGTTTTCTCTTTTCCATTGACAGTATAAGTCAAGGGGGCCTCTCTTTAGCATTCAGCAGCAGTGATATTGACATTGAAGTTTGCACACAATCAAGGAAGTGATTAGCATCACTTTAACAAAATATTAAACTCTTAATCCTTACTGAACTTATGAACTGTTAATGTAAACTTAGATTTTCAGGACAAGTGAGGGTGTTTAGTAATGACTATGTAGGTAGTAAGCTACTCCATCCAATAACATCTTATTCAATAATCTTTTTTTCCCCCTCAGCATTGAGAATTGCATGCCATATCATTAGTATTTTCAGTAGTGGAGGCCACCATGAGGCCTGTTTTCTATAACTGAAGTGTAGTGGTGTTTCAACAATAGAGGTATGGATTTAGGCATAATGCTGCTTGTGCTGAGACTCTAGAAAGATTGTCAGTTTCATTAAACTTAGTTTTGCTGTAGTCAGTGCTGTGAAATCTGGGCTAATATTTCTAGCAAAGACCAAAGACGTATTGGATTTTCCACAGCAGCGTCTTAGGGTTGTTTGACTATGGAGTGTGAAGAGTTTTGTGCTGCATATCCAAACAGGCCGCAATTCAGTTCTGTATTGAGAAAGTCACAAAACAAACTTGCCACAAGAAAGTTCTTAAATTATAGCTTTAATTAGAGACCTGAATATTAAGACATTTAGCAAAATCCCCTTCATAAATAAGAAAATAGATCCACAATCAACATATTTTTCTTCCTGTTGCAAAAAGAGAAAAATATTTTTGCATAGAAATGTAGTGACAAGAATAATAAGGGCTTCTTATTACAAGTGCAAATGATTTGGTTATACAAGTGTTGCAGCTGCAAACCGGCAAAAGGAACATTATAGTTTAATTGTTCAAGTCTATAACAAGTTAGGAAATTATTTTGCTATATTTGAAAGGAAAGTACTGCAAACAACAATTCAAAATTATATCAATGTTCCCCTATACCTTAGTTCTTTTTTCTGAATGCAAGTGATTCAAGAACTGATCCTAAGTATATCTAGACAGAACGTGCCACATTCTGCCATTACCAATGCCCTTTTTAGGCTATATTTAACATTTTGCAAAGGCTATGTGGTACTACAGAAACTTTGCAATTATTTTCTTTACTGTTATAACCAAATGCTATCAACCTTTCTCCACAGTATATGACTGCATATTTATGCCCACCTTGGTCAGTAACTTGGGGTTAAACTCTTGAAACACTGTTCCTTTACAATAGCTGTTCCTTTCCTATTAAAGGAACATGACTCTACTTGAAACAGCACTTCTATTTTTGTTACTTCAAGGCAAACTGGTTGCAGGAGAAACTGTAAATTGCCCTCTGATCCATTTGTCAACATTCAATAATTTCCGAGTAGGATAGGAGGGTAAACGGTAATTACAGGAAAATAGAATAGAATTTGAAAGTTTTGCAGCAAGTAACATCAAATCTCAAATCTAAGTGGCTAATATTAAAGAACACTTCATGTTCTGGGCATAAGTCATTTGTATCATAGATATTTTCTGAGGATACTCTAATTATTTGGGGATATTGGAAGTGAAAATCAAAAGGCAATAGATTTCTTGTTGGATATCTGAATACTTGTGCCCAAGAACATATGTATCAAACTATGAACAAAAAAAA